AAGGCTGGTTCAACATATGCAAGTCTATAAACGTAATTCACCACATAAACAGAACCATAAACAAAAACCACATGATTATCTCAATTGACGCAGAGAAGGCATTTGACAAAATTCAACAGCCCTTTATGCTAAAAACCCTCAATAAACTCGGTATCGATGGAACGTATCTCAAAGTAATAAAAGCTATTTATGACAAACCAACAGCCAATATCATACTGAACGGGCAAAAACTGGAAGCATTCCCTTTGAAATCCAGCACTAGACAAGGATGCCCTCTTTCACCACTCCTATTCACTACAGTACTGGAAGTTCTAGCCATAGCAATCAGGCAAGAAAAAGAAAGGGTATTCAAATAGGAAAGGAGGAAGCCAAATTGTCTCTATTTGCAGACGACATGATAGTATACCTAGAAGACCCCATCGCCTCAGCCCAAAAACTCCTGAAACTGATAAGCAACTTCAGCAAAGTCTCAGGATATAAAATCAATGTGCAAAAATCACAAGCCTTCCTCTACACCAATAACAGACTTAAAGAAAGCCAAATCAAGAACGAACTGCCATTCACAATTGCTACAAAAAGAATAAAATACCTTGGAATACAACTCACAAGGAATGTAAGGGACCTCTTCAAGGAAAACTACAAACCACTGCTCAACGAAATCAGAGAGGACACAAACAGATGGAGAAACATTCCATGTTCATGGTTAGGAAGAATTAATATCGTAAAAATGGCTATACTGCCCAAAGTAATTTACAGAATCAATGCTATACCCATCAAGCTACCATTGACTTTCTTCACAGAACTGAAGAAAACCACCACGAACTTCATATGGAACCAAAAGAGAGCCCGCATAGCCAAGTCAATTCTAAGCAAAAAGAACACAGCGGGGGGCATCACACCACTGGATTTCAAACTATACTACAAGGCTACAGTAATCAAAACAGCATGGTACTGGTACCAAAACAGAGATATAGACCAATGGAACAGAACAGAGGCAACACAACATATCTACAATCATACAATCTTTGATAAACCTGTCAAAAACAAGCAATGGGGAAAGGATTCCCTGTTCAACAAATGGTGTTGGGAAAACTGGCTAGCCATGTGCAGAAAGCATAAACTGGACCCCTTCCTGACACCTTACACTAAAATTAACTCCAGATGGATTAAAGACTTAAACATACGACCTGGCACCATAAAAACCCTAGAAGAAAATCTAGGCAAAACTATCCAGGACATAGGAGTAGGCAAGGACTTCATGAACAAAACACCAAAAGCATTGGCAACAAAAGCCAAAATAGACAAATGGGACCTAATCAAACTCCACAGCTTCTGCACGGCAAAAGAAACAGTCAATAGAGTGAATCGGCAACCAACAGAATGGGAAAAAATTTTTGCAGTTTACCCATCTGACAAAGGGCTGATATCCAGAATTTACAAAGAACTCAAACAGATTTACAGGAAAAAAACAAACAAGCCCATTCAAAAGTGGGCAAAGGATATGAACAGACACCTTACGAAAGAAGACATATATGAGGCCAACAATCATATGAAAAAATGCTCATCGTCACTGGTCATCAGAGAGATGCAAATCAAAACTACATTGAGATACCATCTCACGCCAGTTAGAATGGCGATCATTAAAAAATCTGGAGACAACAGATGCTGGAGAGGATGTGGAGAAAAAGGAACACTTTTACACTGTTGGTGGGAGTGTAAATTAGTTCAACCACTATGGAAGACGGTGTGGCGATTCCTCAAGGCCTTAGAAATAGAAATTCCATTTGACCCAGCAATCCCATTACTGGGTATATATCCAAAAGACTATAAGTCATTCTACTATAAGGACACATGTACACGAATGTTCATTGCAGCACTGTTTACAATAGCAAAGACTTGGAATCAACCCAAATGCCCATTGATGATAGACTGGATTGGAAAAACGTGGCATATATACACCATGGAATATTATGCAGCAATCAGAAATGTTGAGTTTGTGTCATTTGTAGAGACATGGATGAATCTGGAGAACGTCATCCTCAGCAAACTGACACAAGAACAGAAAATGAAACACCGCATATTCTCACTCATAGGTGGGTGATGAAAAATGAGAACATATGGACACAGAGAGAAGAGTACTAAACACTGGGGTCTATTGGGGGGAAATGGGGAGGGCCAGTGGGAGGGGGAGGTGGGGAGGGATAGCCTGGGGAGAAATGCCAAATGTGGGTGAAGGGGAGAAAGGAAGCAAAACACACTGCCATGTGTGTACCTATGCAACTGTCTTGCACGTTCTGCACATGTACCCCAAAACCTAAAATGCAATAAAAAATTAAAAAAAAAAATCTTTACAGTTATCATGAAGATTCAGTTAGATAGTATCTGTAAAAAGCACTTTGCAAACAATGTAGCACTAGATAAATAATCAAATAATCTATTATGTCATTAACTAACTCCACATACATATTAATACAGAAGGAAGAGAGAAAATAAATTCATCTCCAACTTCCCAGTGAACCTAAGGGACACATCAGTTACCACGCCATTCTCCATAATCACACTATCTACAGCTCTCCAGAAATAGGAAAAATTATAAAATCAATAATTTGGAGCAAACAATAGAAAGCAACTTATCTTCAACTACAGTGAATTGATCAAATGACTTGTCTATTCATAATGAAATATTAGATGGCTATTAGAAAGCATGTTTTAGAAGATAATGACGAGGGAAAGTATGGACAATTAAGAATTACAAGAAAAGTAAAACATATAGATGATTTTAAGTCTGATTAAAAATTATATAAACACACATATACATACTAAGGTAAGACTGACAGCTGTAAACCAAAATGCCAATAGTATATTCCTTGTGAGGTGAGACTGAGGGTAATTAATTCATTTGGTGATTTATTTTCTTCTTTGCACTTTTCTTTTGCAACCAAAATAATAGATACTATTAAAACCAAAAATAAATGAATAAAACAAATATGCTTGGTCCAACTTTGGAAGGTGTCAAATTCTGATATTTCTGGTTCTTGCTCATTCCACTTTGCCTTCCCCAAGGAAGGTTCTAAGCAAGCTTTTTTTCCCCCTTTAGACAATGTCTCACTCTGTTACCCAGGCTAGAGTGCAGTGGCATGAACATGGCTCACTGCAGCCTTGAAATGACTTCTTGGGCTCAAGGGATCCTCCTACCTCAGCCTCTCATGTAGGCTGGGACCACAGGTACACACTACCAAAAATAAAAAAATTAAAAGTAAGTTTTTTTATTTTTATAAAGACAGGGTCTCATTATGTTCCCAGGCTGGTCTCAAACTCCTGGGATCAAGCAATCCTCCCAGCATCCCAAGGTACTGGGATTACAGATGTAAATCCTGTCAGCAATTGCTTTTAACTCAGACTGAGCAACTATTGTCTAACTCTAGAGTTATCCACAAGTGATCAGATGTGCCTGGGACAAAGTCTATTAAGAAGCTATCCTCTCCTTGTAAGGCAACAGGGGAACCTAGCGGGGAAAAATGGAATGAAGGCAGAGGATAGCTTCTATGCCCTTCTTACCAGCTAACAAACCTCATTACCATTATTTGTTTCCAGTGGCTGCAAACAAATGCCTACAGGGGTAGGCAACATAAATCAGGGAAACAGGTATGGAGTCTGTGGTGAAATGGCAAAGATATGCCATGTCCAAAGTGACTGGTTCCTTGATTCCAACCAATTGTCACTGTCAGTGCCACTGTGAGAAATGCAGATCCAGGCCGGGCACGGTGGCTCACACCTATAATCCCAGCACTTTGGGAGGCCGAGGCGGGTGGATCATGAGGTCAAGAGATCGAGACCATCCTGGTCAGCAAGGTGAAACCCCGTCCCTACTAAAAATACAAAAATTAGCTGGGCATGGTGGTACGCGCCTGTAGTCCAGCTACTCAGGAGGCTGAGGCAGGAGAATTGCTTGAACCCAGAAGGTGGAGGTTGTGGTGAGCCGAGATCGCACCATTGCACTCCAGTCTGGGCAACAACAGCGAAACTCCATCTCAAAAAAAAAAAAGAAATGCAGATCCAGTGTACCTCCACTTTCCATTTTTTACAGAGAAAACAAAACTCTAGGATTTTTTATATTGCATAGGAAAGGTCTTAAAAACTCATGACAGACAAACTAAACAAACACATAAAAGATAATAAATGTCTCCCAGATCCAAGAAAATAGCAACACAACTAACCAAATAATATTAATAAGAGTAAAGAAAGCCCAGGCACAGAAGTGGGTAGGTAACAACAAAAGCAGGTTTAAGAAAGAAAAACAGTAGTTTATTCTGCACCCTCCAAGGTTGGGGTGGGGAGGGAGGCTTCATATGGAGGACACAGTCTACTTACAAGAAAGTCATGGTTAGCAAGAAAGAACGATTTCACTGGGTTCTCCCAGTGAATACAGCAAAATTCCCCCAGAACTGTCTCCCTCTCTTGTTCTGATTCTTGCCCATGAATCAACTTCTTATGAAAACCTTAGTTTTCCAGGTACTGTGACACCAGAAGTAAAAGAGAAAATGAGACAAGCATTTAGCCCACTAAAAGGAGATTTACCTCCATTCAGAAAAAACAACAACAAAAACAAACCACAGCTGATTTCTAACTAAGTTTCATATGACTAATTAGTGCAGGCCTATCATAGATCATCTGTAGCTATTCTTAAAAAGTCCAATTTCTGGCTCAAAAAGGCTGAGATTTGGACCATGGAAGTTAATGTCCCAATCAAAGTGCTAAAGTCTGTTATGTAGAGTCCATGGTACCCAGCCACTTTCAAAAAGTTCCCTATCACCATTCTCATCAAACTTGGCTATTGTTCTCAGGCCCTGTAGGTATCTGTGGGGTGATCAACACCCCCATTAAACTTGGCTATTGTCATTAGGCCTTAAGACTGGGTCACTATAGTTAAAACAGCAGCTGTAACAATAACAACAAAAACTAAAACTGTAGGTCTTTGATTGGAAAGGAATAATACTTACATTAACAAAATCTCCACCCTGAATCATGAAATCCTTTATGACCCTGAAACAGAGAGCAAAGAATACTGAGAGAAGATTTTATGGTTTAGAAACACATAGACTTTGTCATTATTATATTAGATTAACATTGATTTCAAAAAACACTATCACTTTGGCTTATAAAATGATTATTCTTAGCCGGGCACAGAGGCTTACACCTGTAATCCCAGCAATTTGGAAGGCCAAGGCAGGCAGATCACATGAGGCCAGAAGTTCAAGACCAGCCTGGCCAACATGGCGAAACCTCTTCTCTACTAAAAATACAAAAATTAGCCGGGCATGGTGGTGCATGCCTGTAGCCCCAGCTACTCAGGAGGCTGAGGCAGGAGAATTGCTTGAACCCAGGAGGCAGAGGTTGCAGTAAGCCAAGATCATGCCACTGCACTCCAGCCTGGGTGACAGAGTGGGACTCTGCCTCAAAAAAAAAAAAGATTTTTCTTTTCCTGGAATGATTAAGCTGAAAGGATAATTAACCATAAAAAAGGATTTTAGTTACAAATTAGGGCATGTTAGAATTGGTCAAGTACATGATCTGGTGCCTGAACAGTAACATGAAGAAGGGGCTAAAAGCCTGCAGGAAGAATGACCACAGTACTTGCCTGGCAGATCAAGGGCTTAATGTAAATTTGCGGGAAAGAACTACAGAGAATTTATGTGAAATGGACTGCTACACGTGTCAGGGCTTAACAGTGGTTAGCTATTACCCCTAAGGAGGGCCCTTAACCTTTCTTATCCTGTTTTCTCCTCTGTGGAATACAGATAACACCTCCCACTTCAAAGGAGTCTTACTGGGGATTAGTGACCCACAGCTTTAAAGCTGTGATATAATTACATGCTAATGTTGTTACTAACCACAGTGAGACCATGAGAAAGATTGTATATTGAAATGAGACTCAGTGTTGCTATACTCCACTCCCCAGGAAATATGATTATCTTTGGACAATCGTACATGATAATTTTAGGAATTATAAATATCAACCAGCAGGATATATTATATGCACTTTAGGATTACAACTGTATTTTTTAAAAAATCTGCATTAGTACAAACAGGTGCATGAAACGGACAGGATATTGTAAAGATAAGTAGTTTCTGTTTTAAAGACATAAAAAGAAGTGGAGAAGTATAAGTAGAGTTAGAACATTTAATAAATCTTCAGTTGTTGAGTCCACAGAACCATTTCTTCTCAAGAAATGTAAGAATTACCCTCTGGTTTTATTTTCCTTTTTAAATTTTATTTTATTAGAGCCTAATCCCCCAGGAAGTACTTCTGAAAGACTCCAGGATGGCTTGCCAAAAAGCCTTACCTGTGGAAGGTGCTTCCTTTGTATCCTATTGGAACCCCATCTTTTCTATAATCAAAAAGAAAGAGAATTAGAGTGATAGCAGGTAGCACAAGGCCCTTCCAATCTACCATGCACTGGAGCCAAAAGGACTCTCCTAAACAGGGTTAACAGACATAAAGAAGGCAAACCAACTAGGGATAGACCCTTGGGGTATTACCTTCTATCACTGTCACCAGCAATCATTCAAGGCCAGCAGGTGGTTCCCCGTACCCTCACTGCAGCCCAGGACACCCCTCTGGAGCAATCAAAGAAGTCAAACACGTCTGAAACTGACCTGAATTCTCCGGTGCAGAACTGCCTGAAAGAGACAAAAAGTGAACGATTCAATCACTGTGACATCACAGTTGTGAGCTCCTCTAAAGACGGGAAAGAATAAACACTGGAGCCAGCAAGTCCACCAATCGGCCAGCCAGACGTTCAGACACGCAGACATACAGACTAACAACATAAATTGACTCGGGAACAATCAAAACGGCAACCATTCAGACAGAGCAATGCGCGGAGGAATCACATCTCAAGAGCAGTGAGCGGACGAACAGATGTAGACAGGCTATTCAGGCGGCCGACTGGGGCTCGGCTTCTGCCTCAATTAATCCAGCAGAGGTGGAGCACGTCCTTACCTAAAGTTCTCGGCCGTCTTAGGCACAACGTCTGCAAAGAGCTCGATCTTCATGCGGCCAACTTCCTGCAATCAGCGGGAGACTGTCAGAAGGCCTAGTCAAAGACCATGAGGGCTTCAACCATGATCAGGGGGCATAATGGACTGACCCACCACCCTGCCGCTCGTTATCTCCCACCTCCACCTCCCTGGCCTAACCTTTCGTTCCGCCCAATCTCTCCAGAAACAGGGCGCTAGGATTGGGGAGACTCATCCTCCTCCTTTCCTCCCCCTCCCGGCAGGTAAGTTCGGGTGCAATTTCACTTTCTGGCTTCCCGAGTCCGCTCTCTCTGGGTGAGTTCTGCCTGCCTAGCCCCGAGCAGTTTCCCTTCGGCGCAGGTGTGGGCAGCCTCCTGGATCTCACCTGACCGCCAATGCTGACATCAAAGAACACCACGGGGTTAACAGGGCTTGAATTTGCCACCGCCATGGCTGTGACCCGGAAGCAGAAGTCGGGAGCGTGGGATTCCGGCAACCCTAAAGCCCAGTCCGCGGGTTTCGTCCGTGGAGCAGGCGCGGTAGACGCGGAACAAGACCAGGCCCCGCCCCCGGAAGCTGTCTCTCCTCGCGGTTTGTGCTGAGGCTGCTGGGGTTGAGCTGAGAGACTCCCCCTGAGACTGGGGACGCTAGAGTGAGGAGGAGGAAAACCTTGACATCTTTTTGGTTAAGGTCAATGGTCACCCCACTCACGTGGCTGTATTAAGGGCTTTTGAATTAGGCAGTTCCCGGGGTTCTCCTTATCAGCTCTTGCAGCCAAGCCCTCTGCACAGCCACACGTGCTGTGTCTTGTCTTCTGCCGCTAGTGTGTGCACACCGTGAAGGCAGGAACTCTGGTTCATCCTCACCGTTTAGAACAGGTTGGCACGCAAATGCTTGCTAGGTGAATACTTATTCCTTCCTCGAAGTCAGTACAATAGATTATGTTTCAGTTCTGCCACAAGCTTCCAGTTTTGTCATTTCCAATTCATTTCCCACAGAGCAAATAGAGTTTTTTATTTTCAGAATAACTCTTGTGCTTATAAATCACTCCTGGCTTCCTATATTCAGAATAAAATTCAATTCCTTACATACAAAGCCCTACAGTGCATTTATCTAGCTGTCATCTACCTGACCTCATCTTGTGCCACTTGCCCTTAATTACTGTGCTCTGGCCGGTCTGTTCCTCTAGGTCACTGAGATCCCTCCTCTCTTTAGGGCCTTGTAATAGCTGTTACCTCTGTCTGAAATATTCCTTCCAGATCTTAATGTGGTTTAGCGGAGGAGGGCGGGGGGAGCGGGTGTTGGTTGGTTGGTTGCGGTATGCCTGTGGGAAGTAATGTTTTTATAGTTCAGGGCTCGGCCCAGATGTTATCTTCTCAGAGGCAACATTAAACCTAATCTAAAGTAGCCCTTGGTCATTCAGATCACTGGTTTGTTTTCTTCATGCTACCCCCGATTCCACATTATCTTTGTATGGTATGTGTCTACACCTCACTTCCTGCCACACACACATATATCTTCCTCCCTAATAGTATGTAAATTCCATGAAAGTAGAGACTCCTGGTCCTGTTCACAGTGTAGCTGCAATGTCTCCTACTGAATAGCACGTACTAGATATTCAATAAATATAATATATTCAAAGAATTCAGTGAAAGACGGGGACCTTGGGCAAGGCTCATTCAAATAACAGCATGCATTTAATAGTTATTATTTCCTATGTCCTTTGATCATTTTTTCTAGCTCTGTCCTCTGAGGAAGCAAGGATTGCATATAAAAACCAGTGTATATAAAGAAAAGACACAAAACAAAAATAAGAAAAAAATATTAAAAAATCCAGTGTATCTCAATTTAAAGGGTCATTTTTATTTCAGGTTCCTGATCCTCTCCTGTTGGTCTCCTTCTCCAACTGAAAAAGAAGAAAGGCGAGGAGGGGGGAAAAGGAACAGCAGCAGTCACCCTTCAGTATAATTTCATACCAACTGTTTTTTTTTTTTCTTTTCTTTTTTTACAAAGATGGGGTTTCACCATGATGGCCAGGCTGGTCTTGAACTCCTGACCTCAGGTGATCTATCCACCTCGGCCTCCCAAAGTGCTAGGATTGCAGGCATGAGCCACCACGCCCAGCCTATACCAACTGTTTTAGAATAAATGTTTAAAGTTGATAATATCCAATGTTGATGAGGTTGTGAAAAAATAGTATGTTGATAAACTGCTAGTGAAAAGAAATGATGATAGCTAGCATTTATTAAGCAGTTACTAAGTGCCAAATACTTTACATGCTTCATTTCCTTTGGTCCTCACAACCCTATGGGATATATAATCATTATTGTTCCCATTTTATGAATCATGAAATTGAGCCTCAAGGAGGTTGAGTAACTTGGCTATGAAAACACTATGTTGACACAACTCTTTTTATTTTTTATTTAGTTTATTTTTATTTATTTATTTTTTGAGACAGAAAATAATTTGTTGCCAAATTATTTTGTGACAAAAAATCACTTGTTGCCCAGGCTGGAGTGCAGTGGAGTGGTCTCAGCTCACTGCAGCTTCCACCTCCCAGGTTCAGGTGATTCTTGTGCCTCAGTCTCCTGCGTAGCAGGGATTACAGGTGTGCACCACTACACCAGCTAATTTTTGTATTTTTAGTAGGGACAGCGTTTTGCCATGTTGGCCATGCTTGTCTTGAACTCCTGACCTCAAGTGATCTGCCCGCCTCGGCTCCCCAAATTGCTGGGATTACAGGCGTGAGCCACTGCACCTGGTCAGGCACAACCCTTTTTTAAAGCAGAGGAAGTGATGTCCTAGAGCAAGATTAACATTTATATCCTTTGACTCAGTACAATTTTGCAAATTTGTTTTCTGGATTAATTCAAAAGAAAATAAGTACATGCACAAAGACCTTCAACAGAGCATAACCTTAAATAGTAAAAAAAGTAAAACCAGGCCTGGCATAGAGGCTCATGTCTATAATCCTATCACTTTAGGAGACTGAGCTGGGAGGATCACTTGAGCCTAGGAATTTGAGACTAGCTTGAGCAACAGAGTGAGATATCATCTTTACAAAAAATACAAAAATGAGCCAGGCATGGTGGCATATGCCTGTACTTTGGGAGAGGCTGAGGAGGGAGGATCACTTAGGCCTGGGAGGTTGAGGCTGCATAAGCAGTAATCATGCCACTGCAATCCAGCCTGGGTGACAGAGTGAAACCCTGTCTCAAAATAAAAAAAAATTAGTAAAAACAACTTAAATGCTGGCCAGGTGTGATGGTTCACGCCTGTAATCCCAGCACTTTGGGAGGCCGAGGCAGGAGGATCATGAGGTCAGGAGATCGAGACCATACTAGCCAATATGGTGAAACCCCATCTCTACAAAAATAAAAAAGATTAGCCAGGCATGGTGGAGCATGCCTATAGTCCCAATACTTAGGAGGCAGGGGAATCTTGAATCTGGGAGGTGGAGGTTGCAGTGAGCCGAGATCATGCCACTGCACTCCAGCCTGGTGACAGAGCAAGACTCTGTCTCAAAAAAAAAAAAAAAAAACTTAAATGCCAAATAAGAGAACGTTTAATTTATAGAACATCCCACATCCTCAGAGATACTGAGCAGGACTATACCACCCAGATTGATGAAATGAATGTGAATGTTGCTGTTCTTTTCTGAAGAAGCATTCCACTACACTAAAGATGAGTTGGAGACTGTTCACCTACTTTGTATTTCTGTCTGGAAATATTTAGGGGTAGTTTCTTTTTTACTGAGGGTCATGTGAACTCTCTTCTCATACCCCTTCCCCCAGAAAAAGCTCTTGGTATTTTCCTATCCACTTTTATTATTATTATTATATTTTGAGATGGAGTCTTGCTCTGTTACCCAGGCTGCAGTGCAGTAGCACAATCTTGGCTCACTGAAACCTCCACCTCTTGGTGGAGCCACTGCACTCCAGCCTGGGTGACAGAGCGAGAGACTCCATATAAAAAAAAATAAAATAAAATAAAAATAAAACTTTTCCCATAAAAAATAATTATAGAACATCAACATGATTGAATATCATACGGCTATTGAAAATGTTTCCATGATGCATACAGTAAATTAAGAATCAGACTGTGAAAATGAATATACAATATTATAATACCCATTTAGAATATATGTATTTGAATTATGACCAAAAGGGAACAATTGTAAAATAAAAATAGTTGTGTTAAGATTGTGGTATTATAGGAGGGTTTTTTAAATACTTGCTTTAATGTGACTATATTGTTTTTACTGTTAAAAAATAAATTGAAAATATACCCATAATAATGGGAAAGAATGCTGAATTAATCATACATGTGTTCTGCTGCAAAGAAACCTAAATAAATCATTGAACTAAAGTCAATATATTGATCAATACAAGGTATCTGAGGATATCAAACAAACTTGAAAAATCCATTTTTAGAATGGCTTTAATGAATTTATCAGCAATTTTGAAGACACTTGGTTGACATCCATTTGGGATCTGTGGTAACTCTTCTCAATGTCATGGTGCACTTTTGTGTCCAGGCTTTAAGTTAGCAATTTTGTTCGGTATAGTTTTAGGCAGCAGTGATTTTATAGCTCTGACTTTGGTCTTGTTCTTGTATACCATGTGTCTCTTTCAGAGACATTTATGTATCCAGCCTCAGAATTCTGTGAACACAAAAGATTCTCAGGGGACTTTGAACTTGCCATTGCTTCTTTTGACTTAATCTCTTCAGTCTCTTGAAGACTTACAAATGACTCTACCAAACCTTTTCCTGAAAAACTAAGAAAGGCCATGTGTAAGGACATGATGTAGATAGAGTTTCTTGGTAGCAGTTTGGGGTTACAGGGATACAGGCCATTGATAAAATTTCATTTTTTTGCAACTGTTATACAAAGAAAGCCAAATAAAATTTACCTTAAACCTATGTTCATAGATTATTTCCTATTTTAAGTCAGGATTCTGTGGGGTGTAGGGGTGAAGGGGAGGAACTGGAAGAAGATTCAGATAATTCATGTAGAGTAAATGACCCTGGCATGCTATGCCTTTTCAAGCCAGCAATCCAGGACTAGTTAGGCAGCCACGACTCTCAGGCATGGCTGAGTTCATCTCAGATGACTGTCTTGACTTTACTAACCTGGAGTTTGATAAAGGCAATACTTCATTCATTACTTCAGATTCAAAGATGTCACTAATTGTTGTTTCCTAACAGGAAAGAAATGATGAATGTGAAAAGTTATAATGATAAACCATTAGTATGATCCTAGAAAAAAATATATATATGATAGATATAATACCTGCACATAGTACAAACAATGAGAAACATAAAAGGGCATAGAATGAAAAGTTGGTTGCTGTCCCACCTCTCTCTATATATAATCTATCTATAGCTCTCTATCTATAGACTATCTATGTCTATCTAGTTTTTTTTGAGATGGAGTTTCGCTCTTGTTACCCAGGCTGGAGGGCAATGGCGCGATCTCGGCTCACTGCAACCTCTGCCTCCTGGGTTCAGGCAGTTCTCCTGCCTCAGCCTCCTGAGTTGCTGGGATTACAGGCACGCGCCACGATGCCCAGCTAATTTTTTGTATTTTTAGTAGAGACGGGGTTTCACCATCTTGACCACGATGGTCTCGATCTCTTGACCTCGTGATCCACCCGCCTCGGCCTCCCAAAGGTCTATCTAGTTTTATATACCTGGTGCTATACATACCATTTTCATCTTGCTTCTTTCATTATATATATATTTTTGAGATATTGCAGAAAATTTTTATTTTTAAAATAACAGCTTTGTTGAGAAGTAACTCACATAAAGTTTTCCCTTTTAACAGGTTCAATTCAGTACTTTCTAATGTACTCACAGTTATGCAACCATCACCATTAGATAATTCCAGAACATTTTCGTCACTCCCCAAAAAAGCCCATACCTAAGACAGTCTACGCCCCATTTATTCCTCCCCAAGTCCTTGGCAATCAGTAATATACTTTCTGTCTTTATGGATTTTTATTCTGGATGTTTCATATAAATGGAATCATGCAATCCGTGGCCTTTCATTTTTGCCTTCTTTAAAATATTAGCATGTGGCCAGGCGCGGTGGCTCAGGCCTATAATCCCAGCATTTTGGGAGGCTGAGGTGGGCTGATCACAGGGTCAGGAGTTCGAGACCAGCCTGACCAATATGGTGAAATCCTGTCTCTACTAAAAATACAAAAAAATTAGCCAGCGTAGTGGTGCCTGCCTGTAATCCCAGCTACTTGGGAGGCTGAAGTAGGAGAATTGCTTGAACCTGGGAGATGGAAGTTGCAGTGAGCCGAGATTGTGCCATTGCACTCCAGCCTGGGTGACAGAGCAAGACTCTGCCTAAAAAAAATAAATAAATAAAAATAATTTTAAAAAATTAGCATGTTTTCAAGGTTCATTATGTTATAGTAAGAATACTTTACGTCTTTTATGGCTGAATAATATTCCAATGTTTGGATAAAACAGATTTTGCTTATCAGTTCATCGAGTGATGGAGAGTGGGTTGTTTTTACTTTTTAGTTATTATGAATAATGCTTCTATGAATATGTACAAGTTTCTGGTAGGACATATATTTTTATTTTTCTTGGATATTGTGATGGTCAGAAAGTTTTAAAAAATTTTTATTTATACTATTGAATATTGACAAATTACAAGTACATATATTTATAGGGTACAAAGCTATGATATATAATGTGAAATGATTGAACTTAGGTAATTAACATATCCATCACCTCAAATACTTATTCCTCCTGTCCAACTGAAACACTGCACCTTTGGCCAACATCTCCCCATTCCTTCCCCACCCCTCAGCCTCTGGTAACCAGCATTTTGCTCTATGCTTACTTGTGTTCAATTGTTTTAGATTCCACATTTAAGTGAGAAGATGTGGTATTTGTTTTCCTGTGCCAGGCTTTTTTCACTTAGCATAATGTCCACCAGGTTCACCAATGTTGTTGCAAATGACAGAATTTCCCTCCTTTTTAAGGCTAAATAGTATTCTGTTGTGTATATATACACCACATTTCCCCACACCATAGTGTATATCACATACTAACTTCAAATCCTTTGGATGTATACCCAGAAGTAAGATTGCTGGATCATATGGTAGTTCTGTTTTCACTTTGTTGGGGAAGTTCCACACAGTTTTCCATAATTGCTGTTCTAATTTATATCCCAACCAACAGTGTACAAGATTTCCCTTTTCTCCACATCATTGCCAACACATTATCTTTCACATTTTTGGTTTGTTTGTTGATATAGGGTCTTGCTCTGTCACCCAGGCTGGATTGTAGTGACATGAACATAGCTTACTGCAGCCTTGACCTCCTGGACTTAAGGAATCCTCCCACCTCAGCCTCCTGAGAAGCTACAACCACAGGTACACGCCACCACACCAAATTAATTAAAACAAGGTGCTTTTGCTTTGTTTTGTTTTGTTTTTTGTAGATACAGGGTCTTGCTGTGTTACCCAGGCTGGTCTGGAACTCCTGACCTCAAGCGATCTTCCCACTTCAGCCTCCCAAATTGCTGGGATTACAGGTGTATGCTACCATGCCTGGCCCTTATCTTTCATCTTTTTTGATAATAGTCATTCTGACAAGTGTGAGATGATATCTCATTGTGGTTTTAATGTGCATTTCCGTAATGATTCCATAATGAAGTTGAGCTTTTTTTCTATGTATCTGTTGTCCATTTATATGTCTTCTTTTGAAAAATGTTTATTCAGTCCTTTGCCCACTTTTTAATTGGGTTATTTTCTTGCCATTGAGTTGAGATCCTTATATATTTTGGATATTAATCCCTTATCAGATGTGTAGCTTACAGATTTTTTTCCCAATCCATAGGTTGCCTCTTCACTCTGTTAATTGTTTCTTTTGTTGTGTAGAAGCTTTTTAGTTTGATCTAATCCCATCCCATTTGTATATTTTTGTTTTTGCTCCCTGAGCTTTTGGTGTCAAATTGAAAAAATAATTGTCCAGATCAACATCATGTAGTTTTTTCCTTATGTAGTGTGCTTCTAGTAGTTTTACAATTTCAGATCTTGTCTTTTTAAAAAATTTTATCTAATGCCAATTAAACATCTCAGGATCAGATCTTATCTTTAAGTCTTCACTCCATTTGAATTCGATTTTTTAAAATGTGGTGTTAGGTAAGGGTACAATTTCATTTTTTCTGCACGTGGATATCCAGTTTTTTCAAAACTGTTTTGTTGAAGAGACTCTCATTTTCTCAATGTCATTCTCATTCTTTGTCAAAAAATCAATTGACTGTAGGCCAGGTGTGGTGTATGACACCTATAATCCCAGAATTTTGGGAGGCCAAGGAAGAAACATTGCTTAAGCTCAGAGTTTGAGACCAGCCTGGGCAATATGACAAGACCCCGTTGCTACAAAAAAATTTAAAAATTAGCTGGCTGTGATGACATGCACCAGCTACTTGGCATTCCAGCTACTTGGCGTTCCAGCTACTTGGAAGGCTGAGGTGGGAGGATTGCTTGAGCCCAGGAAGTTGAGGCTGAAGTGAGCTGTAATTGTACCACTGCACTCCAGCCTGGGCAACAGAAAAAGAAAAATCAATTGACTGTAAATGTGTGCGTTTGTTTTAGGCTCTCTGTGCTGTTCCATTTGGTCAGTGTGTCTATTTTTATGCCAGTACCATGTTGTTTTAATCATTGTGGTTATGTTACACATAGATATAAAAAACAAAAAATTTATATATAATTATTATAGTTATATATATATAACAGAATATATATACATATATGTATATATGTATATATATATAAAACAGTCATGGCTCACTGCAACCTCTACCACCTGGGCTCAAGCAATCCTCCTGCTTCAGCCTCCCAAGTATCTGATATTACTATGCCCAGCTAATTTTTTATTTTTATTTTTGAGTTGGACTTTCACTCTTGTTGCCCAGGCTGGAGCGCAATGGTGCAATCTCAGCTCACTGCAACCTCTGCCTCATGTGCTCAGGCAATTCTCCTGCCTCAGCCTCCCAAGTAGCTGGGATTACAGGTGCCCACTACCATGCCCAGCTAATTTTTGTATTTTTAGTAGAGACAGGGTTTAGCCATGTTGGTTAGGCTGGTCTCGAACTCCTGACCTCAGGTGATCTACCTGTCTCGGCCTCCCAAAGTGCTAGGATTACAGGTGTGAGCCACTGTGCCTGGCCTCATTTTTCACTTTTTTGTAGAGATGGGGTTTTGCCATGTTGGTCTTGAACTCCTGGGCACACACTGGTCTCAAACTCCTGGGCTCAAGAAATCTGCCCTCCTCAGCCTCCCAAAGTGCTGGGAATATAAGTATGAGCCACCATGCCCAATCTGTAATATGGTTTGAAATCAGGTAGTATGAGGCCTCCAGCTTTGTTCTTTCTGCTGAATTATCTTGGCTATTTGGTTTTTTTTGTAGTTTCACATGAATTTTAGGATTGTTTTTTCTATTTCTATGAAAAATGACATTGGAATTTTGATAGGTATTGCACTGAACCTATAGATTGCTTTGGGTAGTATGGAAATTTTAGCAATATTAATTCTTTCAATTCATGAACATTAATATCTTTTCATTTTTGTATTCAATTTATTTCATCAAAGTTTGGTAGTCTTAAGTAAAAAGATCTTTCACCTCCTTGGTTAAATTTATTCCTAAGTAGTTTATTTCTTTGGTATTACTGTAAGTGGTATTATTTTCTTGATTCTTTTTTTGGATAATGTGTTGTTGGTGTATAGAAACTACTGATTTTGGTGTGTTGATTTTGTATCCTCCAACTTTACTGTACTTGCTTCTTAGTTCTAACAGTTTTTAGGGATTTCTATATATTAAGATCATGTTGTCAACAAATAGACACAATTTCACTTTTTTGTTTTCTTTTTTTTTTATAGAGAGAAAAGAAGAAAAAGGAAAGAAAGAAAATAATAATAATAAAAAAGAATGAAAGAGAGGAAGAAAGAGGAAGAGAAAGAGAGAGAGAACAGGAGTATTGCTTTATTGCCCAGGCTAGAATGCAGTCTAAAAATGGGTATTGAAAACCTCTTTTATGCCAATAATTGTGCTTAACAATGGAGACAGGAAGGAATAAGGGAGGAAAATAACAAACAAGCAGCCAACCAATATTTCATTTAAACCTGTGAAATGCTGTGCAATTACTGAGGAGTGATTTACTTCCAATTATGTG